ATCCTAATGAAAGTACAAATAGGTTCTGTCCTAGAATTATTATTGTTATTATTAATTAATCAGAGGACATAGAATCCTTCGCTCCTTTTAACTTCTTTATATTGTAAATTAGAATAAAACAATTATCATTAAAATATTCTATTCGATCACTATTGATATTTTGAACTTTAAAATATCAATGGTAAAATGAGAAGGGTTTTTGTTTTTGTTTTTTTTTTTTGATCGATAATTTCTTCAAGTATTGACAGTAATATCAACTAAATAAATTCAAATTTCATATCAATTTTATATACATAAATGGAAAAAATGTCTTACTACTTCAAAAATTTCTATGTTTTAATAATATCAATAATCTTTCTTAAATAAAAAGTATATTTGAATTTTATTTCCGAGATTTTGATCTTCATATCTTTGAAAATACCAAGTTTATTAATTAATGCTTTCCCCAAAAAATTTATGTTAAATTTTCCGTTTAGCATAAAGAGCTAGGAAAAAAAATATGATTATGAAAGCAATCAAAGATATATAAAGGATGATGATTCCTTAGAGTATTTGCTCCGACGAATTTCATCTAAAAATAAGCATTTTTTTTTTAACACAACTTTACCGGAAGATAAGATTTTGTTTGTTTTTTTTTTTTGAAATAACATTAATAAGACTATAAAAGAAGTTGCTAAAAATTGCAATAAAATATAGTACGAATTAATATAGTATTTATGTTACAAATCAATATAGTGCTTAAATATAGATATATCGATTAGTTGTCCAATTTTTATCCCTATCATCTGCAATATTTTAGATAATTACAAATAAAATAACATAATAATTACTATCAGTTATCCTATTTTTTCAGCTTTTTTATCAATTTCTTACAAACATAGTTAAAAATATCCCTTTTCATGAATAATAACGATGAAAATTTCTTTTTATTAAAAATTTTTTAAACATATTTCCGTACGACCCAAACTTAGAAAAAATCAAATATGTAAATAATGGAAGAAATTTTCTCATTAAAAGTTTTTTATTGCTCTCTCCTGAATTTAAGAATTTTTAACTTCAATTAAACTTATATGAAAAATTTAAATTAATGATAAAATTTAGAAGTACCATACGGACCGATTTCAAATGTTAGCATTAGTAATGTACATTTATTCAAACATCAAAAAGATACACACACACACACGCTTCACGTACGTGATACAACATAGCATATATTTGAAATTGCACGTAATAAGTTTAGATATATGGAAGGTAAAATTTAAGGAAGGCAAAAAAGAGTAAAATTTTACGCTATAGTAGCGGCCGCTTTGCGAATAGATTTGACGAAATGATTTTTAATTTCCGCTTGGCAGCAACATAAGTGGTAGACGGGTTCACGTGATGAACCGATATGTATAAGAATGAAGGCATACTGTGATTGGGATGATTGATTGTCGATTTCGTTTACTTCTACTTCAACAATTGGTAAAATTCGATAAACTTTAGTCTACAATTAGATTAATTAGTAGAGGTTACAAGTAAAGTGAAGAAAATAATTGATTGAAATGGAATTAAATGAAATGTGATTAACAAAAAAATTTTAGTTAAAAAAGGCATAATTGAGAGATTATAAGAAAAATAGGTGAATGAAACAAAATAAAATCAAACTACATGGTAAAAAAAGAAAGACCGATTTTTTTTTTAAAGAGAAATAATTAATTATTTGTTTCGTAGAATGAAGTAAATTGATTGAGGAAAAAATAAAATAAAGAGGAAATTTAAAAAAAAATTAGGAAAAATAAATAATTTTTAAATTACGCAAATAATCCATTTCTTTTTTTTTTTTATTAAATTTCCCTTTTAGTTTTCAAATGGAAACGAAACCTTATTTTTGGAAAGTGTTGGGCAGAAAATCAAAATTAAACTGGTGAAAACAAATGCTACGCAAGCAACCGGACGTGAACGATTTTCGGAACAATTCAACCAATTAATATGTGCAAACATTAACAATTGACTGAAATTCATACGTGATGCCTGAAAAAATGGAATTTTACAATCTTAGTGTTGAATTCAAGGTTTTTGTTTTGAAACTGCAAAAATCTCGATGTTATGGCTAAAATCAATAAAGTATATGTTAAAGTACTACGTTGAAACTTTATATCATATCATAAATTAATATTTGAGAATGAAGAAAATATAATGCAATCATTGAAGACTGATTAAAATTGATTTACTGCTCCATTTTTTGTGGAAATTTCTTCAATAATCTGTCCATATTGCTCCGTCAATCGTTGCATTTCATTCACGTATTCCGCCAAGGCTTGCATTTTTGTTAGAGCCTGTTCACTTTGCTGCCTTTCTACGGATCCTGCAATTAAGCGATTTCGAATAATAATAATAGTGTATACTTAGAAAGGTTAAATGTTTTAATCGAAATAAACTCAAATACGGCAAATTGTCTCATTCTGAGATACCTGTGATAAGTGACGAAATTAATTATCATAAAATTAAGATTCATGATTTATTGTGTGTGTGTGTGTATAACAAAACAAGCAACCTACATGAATAAAGAAATAAGCAGTAAAGTTAAAATTAGAAACGGAAATAGTGACTTCAAACGTAAAATATGAATTGTAATTTTTTTTTTTTTTTTTGGCAAGAAAATGAGAAGAAAAAATAAACCTTTAAAACAATTATCTTTAATTTGTTGTAAAAAGAGAGGATATTTGAGCACTCTCTGAATTGGTTTGATTAGTAATGATTGAGCACTTTCACTTTGCTCACCGCTAATGTTTAATCTTTCCAATCGTGTTGCAGTATCACTTATCTCTAGAATGAAACAATTATAGGTTTTTTTTTTCTAAATTAAACTAAAAAAATTGAATTAAATATTTATAAACAAAATATCAGTAATGATTGAAATAATGTAAATTATATCTGGAAGGATGAATGTATCAGATATTTGAAATTTCACTCATCATTTTTAAAAAATAAATTGAACGAATTTGCACATAATTTGATAGAATGATTAACCTTTTTTATTTTGTTGAAATCGTAAATATGCAGCTGAATAGTCACTATAAATTTTGAATTTACTACATTTGTTGACAAATAAAGCCGAAATACGAATTAATGAGTCCTGTAATGAAATTTTTAACTAGCTTAATGTGAAAACTTTCAAATTCACATATTCAAAAATCAATTTTTTTTTCCATTCATGCAAATGATTTCCAATAATTAATAAATTACAAATCAAAACAATTGAGTGACAATGAATTAAATTTAATTCAACCAATCAGTCTTACTCGCAATTGCTGTTGTGAAACTGTAAATGAACGTGCAACATCTCCGGCTGCATCACGAAGTGATAAGAAGAATGAAGTTTGAATTCGTAAAAGACAATCAGCTGTTTCCAATAGATTTAAATTCGTTGGTTTTAAATACTGATTTACAAGCTGTAAAGTGATTTTTTTTTCCCATTTAAATTCATTTTAATGGTACAGAAATTACATAAATTACATGAAGAATTTCAAAAATTTCAAAAACATTCCTGGAATACGATGGAATGCATTTTCAATCAAAGAAATATGCATATATATGTATATATAAACTTTAGAAATTTTGGAAAAAATGAAAATAAATTTTTCAAATATATTTTATGAACAATCAAATGTGCACTTTATTTGTTTGTTACCATATTTCATATAAACGGCAAAAAATAAAATTTTTACCATTCTTCCACTCATTTTTTTGTCATTTGTTTATTCGTAATTTTTATCGTTAAACTCTAACATACTATTAATTCACTCGTCTATTTTAAATTCATTGGATAAAATTCTTTCTTAATTATTTGGAATATCTAAGAGAGAATGAGAGAAAGGGAGAGAGAGAGAGAGAGAGAGCGAGAGAAAAAAAAAGGAATGGATTAAAAAAAAAAAAAAACCTTCTGAACATCACGTACGAAATTTTCTTCGGTTGATACAAGTTCACTGATTGTTTTTAGGAGCTGTTCTTTTGCTCCCTCACTAAAATGCGATACAGAAATAGCACTATTAGGAGTGGTATGTCGATATTCCTCACGTCTTGATGATGACTTCTCGTACGTGGAATGAAACATTTGACGATCATTATTTGATGATAGCTGATAGATTCGATGAACACTTCGAGTGGGTGATGATCGTGCTGATTCGTTTTGTTGATCCTATAAATGTCAATTAAAATGAGTTTGAGTTAGAAAACATTCATATGTATTCAAAATTCTAAATTATCCCATTTTGCATAAGGTTTCATTTTTTTTTTTTTTGATGTTTTTACTAATAATTTCATGCATACAAATAGCAGGCTAAACTGATTCGTTTGCAATTTTAAATTTTCCAAAAATTTTAATCAAATTTGCTTACCTTTCGAATTTTGTTCGTATAAGATGTAATATCAGATATTCGATCCATACTGTGAGAACGATTCCTTATGGAAGATTGCGGAGGTGGAGGTGGTAGTGCAAAACTGTCAAAGGTTGTTGTAACAGTAGTGGTAGTAGTAGTAGTACTATTATTTATTGGAGTAGATAATAGTCTTGGCTTGATATACTGCGAAATGATAGCGTCACGTTTACGTAGGACAAGATTTGTACCGTGACGCAACAAAATTTGCACTTCTTCAGCACTTTTTAACGAACTAATCAATCGATTATCAACGCTTATCACCAAATCACCTACTTTAACACAAGCTATTTTGTCACGGATTGCACGAACTTCAGCCTGAAATTGAGGTTTTTTGATAATTAAATACGCAAATATTTAATTGAATCTATTGTTAAATCAAAATTTTTCAAAAAAATTTTTTTTTGGAATTAGAAATGTTCAAAAATGAATTTTTCTAGCTATCTATTGTTATCTAATCTTAATTAGCTATAATATAAGTTAATTTTTAGGTGTTTATTCTACCAATAGAGATTAAAAAGAAGTATTTCCACTTTTACTTGAAGCAAATAAGTAATTTATATTTAATCTTGTTTTAATCTTTAAAAAATCCTTCTATTCAATCTTCATTTTTTTTATTCGGAAAAAAAAATGTTGCATTTGATAATTCGTTTAAATGTCTCTATTTATTTTTCGAACATCTTCCACGAAATATAATCAAATTTACATGCATTTAAGGAATTTAATTTAGTTCAAAATATAAAATGTAGCACAAAATTCACTCGATACGAAAAAGTAATTTTTATTGTAACAATTTCGAAAAAAAAGGGAAAAAAGTTGACTGGAAAAATGAAAATTGAAAGAAGGTGTCAATCAGTTATTTGAGTTATTACAAGAAGTGTTGGTTTGTGATGATGGATGGGCAACAATGATCTCATAAAAATGTAAAAATATTGCTTTATAAAAATGTGAAAAATAAAAACTTAGACGAAAGAAAGGAAGAAAAAACAAGGAGAGAAGGAGAAAAAAAGCAATGCAGTGTTTGAGAGGAAAAATTATTTAAATGTTAGCCAAAAGAATCAGTTAATTTTTGCGAAAGAAAAAATAAGTTATTTTATTTCATGGCTATAACTAACGATGATTTTAGATGAGACTCGTACGAAATGATAGAAAAATTTTAAAATGCATTTATTAAAAGACAAAAGAAATTGTTATGAAATTTAAAGCTTAAAATAATTATACCTACGCTGTTTCATCAATTTCAAAATTTTCATTTATTTAAACTGAAAACAATGTTATTCATCAAAATGAGACGATTTTTGTACATTAAACATTAATTTTTGTTATAAATAAGCAATATAAACAATTTTGAGTTTTTAAATTATTCACATTAAATATTTGATTATAATTTTGACCTTTCTAAAATTCTATTGTCAAGAAGATGTTCTTTTAATGATTTTGAATAATTTTTGATGTGCAAAAATATGATAAAATGTATATTGATCAATAGAGAGCTATTGAGTACAAAAAAATATTGTACAATTTATTTTCAATAAGTTAAATTGAAAAATTGATATTTACTCGATTTGAGGACAGATACAATATGAGACTCTATTAAATTTCGGGAATTATTTCAAATTTGAAAAACTTTTTATTGATATTAAATATTTTGAGCCATGACAGTATTAAAGTACCATTAAAAAAAAATGGAATTATAAAATATATAATACTCATTCAATATTGTTCGATCTTTCTCAATAATTTTCAAATTTGACTATAATACCTGCCCTATCAAATTTTTCAAATTACATTGTTTTCTCATATACAATAACTCGTTTTTCTTTTTTTTTTTTTCTTATCTACTTAATTGTTAATTTTTCTTTCTGTTCTCAATATGTCCTACTTAATCTGTGATTGTGCATCGGACAAATTTTTGTTGATCGGTCATTTTTTTTTTTGTCCTTTATTATTCAGTATTTAAGTGCTAATATTACATTTAGCATCGCTATAAAAAAGAACCGTATAATTTCAAACTTCATGTAATTTACCTTAATTTCACCACTACTACACATTTTAGCACATATAGTTAATCCGAGACTTCGTTCTTTCTTCTGCAACTGATAATCTCGTTCTTCTAATCGAACTTGATCACGACCCTCTCTTATGATATGGTATTTTTCCGGATCAAGTTTTAGCTCCTCGCAAACCTGAAAGGAAAAAAAAAGCATTCCATACCCGGCTAATGAGAGTTTGATAGAATACTCTATAGATATTTTAATGAAGATAAAATTGAGCGAGAAATACGATTACCATATATCTTTAAATGCTTAGTAATAAATTTGTTTCAAATTAAAAATACAATAATTTTTTATGAATTCCAATTTGAGGCTAAATGTTGTGTAGAATTTCGAATTATAAAAGAAATTCATGCATAAATTATCAGATCATTAAATCCGAAGACGGAATTGACTTTTAACTTGAAAAAAAAAAAAAGCTGCTTACCTTGCATAAAATTTCACTCACATTATCGGTGGTTGTTTGCTGAAGATATATAATAGAACCGGAAGGAAGTAATACACTTACGATACCATTACTACCATTAGAAGGATGGTAGTTGAATAGTGCGTGAAGTCGAGAAACATTCAACATCAATTCTTCTTGATGATTCCATAATCTTTTACTACTTGAACGTTGTAAAGATGAGAAGTTAATTTTCAAAAAAAAAAAATAAAAAAATAAAAAAATAAAAAATAAAATGAAAACTTTTATAATCATTTAAAAATGCTAAATGAAAATTCAAATTCTTATTGTGAAAATTATGGAAATTTTAAGTATATTTTAAGTATACGTGATAAAAATTTAAATAGTTATTTATCTTTGCTGTTAAAAAAATGTAAGAAGTTGGAAAAAGAATTCTTTTGAATGTTCAAATAAGTTTTTTCTTTTCCTTTTTATTCTGTTTTAAAATAAAAATTGCATGAATGAATTGGTAAAAATACTTTTATTCTAATTTAATGAGCATAAATTAATCTAAAAGCGAACATTTGAAATTGTGATTTACACAGGAAATATAAGTGAAGAGAACATATGGCAGCACCACCAAATGAATTTAAATGACGCAATGTTCGCAATGAAATTTTACTTAATAATTCCTGAAATAAAAGATAGCAATTTTGTAGCAAACGCAGAATTTGATAAAATACTAAAATGCAAAATTTGGTAAAATTTTGATAAAATAAAAAAATTATTGATTCCAAGCTTTTTCTTTTCTGAAAATTAAAATTTTAAAATTCCTTAATTTGACTAACACATTGAAATCAAAATCACAGTAAATTATATAATTATTACGGAAATATTTTGCTTATTTTACAGTGAACAAACAAACAAAATAAAATAATAATGCGACAAAAAAGTGTCACACAATAATACCGATGGTGTTGGAAAATTAATATCGGAAATAGCAGCCAAACGATATTTCAATGTAAACAATTGCAATTGGCTCATTTCCAATTCATCCCCTAAACGATAGGCCAATTCGCATTCTGATTGTAATGATCCCAGTGAACGCGCTAGCTTGAAGAAAATTTGGAAGATTAAAATGAAGTA